CATGTACTAGGTATAAGCAAATGGATATTGGATTGTGTGTAAAAATGTGTGTTGTTATATCAAATGTTTTAAATGCTTGAAAGAATAAATCTAATCAAATCAAATCAAATCAAATCTGTATATTTGGATTAATTGTTTTGCTTCTCTTGGTGTTGAGATATTTTCAATCATGTTATGATTGTGTCTTTGGAAAATTCACACCAGCTCTTTAAAGATATTTGCTCTTTACTGTTAACAAGGATTTATGTGAACAAATGGGTGGAGGCCCTGTCTTCCAAGGCTCTGCTCCTCTATTGAGATTGATTCTAACCGCTACACTCTCAATTATGGCTCATGATAAAAGGTCAAGGCTTTGGCCAAATCTATGTACTTTCTCTTTACAGAGCCGACACACACACACACACACACACACACACACACACACACACACACACAAAACTACTTACCACATTAAAGTCGAGATTCTTTTCTACCCAGTCAGCAGCAGCATCAAATTCTTCAAACATTTCCATGATGTAGAGGGTATCCAAAGCATCCACAATCGTTGCTCCTTTTATACTTCCTGCAAGAAACACAGATACAAAAATTAAACCTACATTACATATGACTTTAGCGCTTTGTCAGTAAACAGATTTTACTGTCTTCAGTTGTTTTACATCTGTCTGAGTAAAAAAAAACTGAAATGCTAGGAATAAAGTTGGGTTAAAAAGCCTTAAGTTTAACTTTTCCAGATGAGAACAAACTCCCAAGAAGTTCACTGAAATGTTAAAGCAAGTTGAGCGCACCGTTCCTTTCATAAGTATGAATGACAAAAGGTGATGGCAGCAGTTTCTCTGAAAAAGCACTGACTAAACAGCAGAAGTTAAGAGTTATGTTTGGAGGTTGAATAAATTACTTTTCTTGACAGATGGTGGGAGGCAGCGATTATCAGCACTGATGAAACGTCGGGAGAATTGCTCATCTCTAGTGATTAGACTCATAGCAGGAGGGAAGACACACAGAGACACACAAACCATCATTCCAGTGCAGTTATTACCCAGACTCTACAAACCCAGCACCTTTGTCTGTGTATGTGTTGGAGAACTCAATTACTATTAAGCATGCAGCACAGAGCCCTCACACAACTTGCTAGAAGACCTCTGTCCAAGCTATATGACCAGTTAGAGGTGTAAAGGAAAATGCAAAAACATGGAAATGAAGGATGGGTAGAGGAAGTAGACACTGAAGGGACATTACACTAAGTACAACAGCGAGCAAAAGTGAAAACATGAATACATCAGCACTGGGAGGCCGGCCTACAAAGAGAAGACTGGGAGTCAAGGTGGGGAAATAAAAGAGTAAGGAGGAAAAAGACAGAAGGCTAGAAGAGTCGGGATGAAAGCCAGAAGGCTGATGGTGCGTTACTGGGTGACGTTGCAAGTTTCTATCCCCGTGTAAATGGTGGGAATATCCACAGCCAACTAAAAGGTTTCCATTGCACACAGTGCTGAATCATCAGCCAGAGACCCACTGGCGTCTATCAAAAGCAGCAATGGTTCACTCTGTGACTGGAAAATATTATGCTTTCTTTCACCTTGGTCAACTGGTACTAAAATGATTTTAGTTAGAAACCACAAGATAATACATCAGCTTTTAATTCATATTCTTACCAAAGGTCTTCTGCAAAGGATCTAGGCCTGGCAGGAGGTAATGAGCTGACTTCAACATACAGTATATGGTAGTATTGTTTCCCACACTTAGAGGCACTCCCACACTTGAGAGTTCAAACTGGGAGAAGATTAACCTAGCTTAGCATAAGAGTAGAAGCAGAGCAAAACAGATAAATGAACTCCCACCAAAGTTAGCAGGGAGCTGCAGGTTCACAGCGAGTTTACTACGCCAGTATTGTTTCCCACACTTAGAGGCAATCCCACACTTGAGAATTCAAACAGGGAGAACATTAGCCTAGCTTGGCATAAGAGTAGAAGCAGAGCAAAACAGCTAAATGAACTCCCACCAAAGTTAGCAGGGAGCTGCAGGTTCACAGCGAGTTTACTACACTTGGTGTCATTATGCATCTAGATGAACCAATATTAAAACATGCCCTTACCCAACTGTGTCTGGCAACTCATGCTTCTGAGAGCTCTGCCCATCTATGGATTTCACAACGCAACATGTTAATTAGTGAGCTTTAGCAACCTTTGAACAGAGCCAGGCTGGTTGCTTCTTCCCGTTTCCAGTCCTTATGCCAAGTTAAACTTAACTGACAGATACTAGTGTCAATGACAGAGACATGAGTATTTTGGTATCAAACGACAACTGGAAGAAAGAGAAAATAATAATGAGAGATGATAATGATAAGGAGGTACAGGGAGAATCACACATACACTGTGACAACCGAACTAAATGAAGCATAAAAAGTCTACAACAAATGTGTAATAACTCAAATCATATTCATAAAAACTCCTGCAAGAGGAGATAACTGACATTACAGTTTCTCAAACTACAGTATGCTACGGAAACAAAGAGCATGTAACCAGAGGTGTCAGCAGATCCAGTTACTGTTGTGGTCTCCTGTCCTTCCTGTTTTTCATCCATGCCACAGTTTCACTCCCCTGAAGCCTCCAGAGCGACAAAATGAGGACAGGACATTTTACTCCTGTCTATTGTCTGGTCACGGTGCTTCCTCCCCCCCACTGCTCTTCCTGTATCATTGTGAGATGTACAGATGGTCAAACAGTGACCAGAATACTAATAGTAGATATAAAAAATAGAAGAGGTTAAGGAGGAAAGAAAAGGTTTCTGGACAAATACCATACTTATTAAAATGGAGGTTTCATCATACAGTGAGGAACAGAAGTATTTGAACACCCTGCGATTTTGCAAGTTCTCCCACTTAGAAATCATGGAGGGGTCTGAAATTCACATTGTAGGTGCATTCCCACTCTGAGAGATAGAATTTAAAAAAAATTCAGGAAATCACATTGTATGATTTTTAAAGAATGTATTTGTCTTGCACTGCTGAACATAAGTATTTGAACACAATAAATTTTTAAACTCTTAATTTAAACTGCAAGTTGAAGCTATCGCCTTAGCCTCTGAAAAATTGTGCTCAGGATTTTTTTTACATTTCACAAACCAGCAATTATTTGCAAAATCAATTAACAGATTGTTAAGAAAATCATTGGCTGCAGCACATGATTCATCTTCAAATATGTTCGAAACACTAGTCTTGGCAAAGAGTACGCAAATGACACTGGTCCCAGATTGGGCCTTTCATCAAAAAGAGCTCTGTGTTAGTGAGACAGCTTGTCCGAGGCCTTGATGGCAGAAGGCAACAGGAACACGCTAACATGGACTTGGTACCAGACCCAGTATTTGTGTCAACGTCCAGATGGAAAGACTATGAAAGACTGCGAGGGGCTTCGTCCGAGCTCTGAAAGGCTGGGAAAGCAAAGTTCAAGGAGCGAGGAGGTAATGTGTGGGTGCTGCTGAGGATTCTGTTTCTACTCGCGACTGAGCATGGTGAGGTAGCAGATGGCTCAGCAGAGGGCAGAGTCTATGATGCTTCTGTCAAGAAAGAGCAGTAGGGGATGGCGGGCCTGATGACACTTCCTGCAGGTGGTAGGCTTGTCACAGTGGGAGAACTCTCACATGTCCAAAAGTTCTTTCCAGAAAACACCGAACAGCGGTGTTACCGCCCACAGCAACGTCTGCTGCCAGAGCTGCAATGAGCCAGTTAACAAGAGTAACTACTCTGACCACCTCATTTTGACCAACTATTTCTGGGTTTTGCACCACTGGTTGGACAAAAAACAAAAAACACAACATGATGATGCCAACTTGACAATGACTGATTACAGAAAAGGCCAACCTGTGTCAGGTAGGTCAGAAAAAATATGCAAAATGAGCACAAAATAAAAACAAACGACCACATAAAGACAAAAAAAGAAACAGCTGATATGAAAAACAGCTCTGTTTCCTGTAGATACTACCAGTGTACAGTAAGTGCACCATGAGAAGAAAATTAATTCATCTCCGGCTGGAGCTGCTGTTTATTTTTGTGCATGTCGTGAATGCACAAGCTTTTCACGAGAATGGTGACAGGGACAGAGTGAAGGAAATGAGGCAGGACTAGTTGTTCAAGTGCCTGGAGGCTGTGAAAAGTTTAGGTCCTGCTCAAAACAAACTCCACCAGTTGTGGAGACTATGAACAAGGAAGAAAAAAACAAATTTGTGATTTATCTCACCAGAAAGGATGAGTGAAGGATATTGTTATCACTCCCCATTTTCTGACAACCTATAAAGCAGAACATTGCAAAGTGAGAAATGGACAGATAGATGAAAAATGAAAAGGCCTGTGTCCTCAGAATACAGGATTCATGACCTTTCTTTTCCTAGACAGGACACATGAGACAGTGAAGGTCCAACAGTCGCTAACAAACTATCAGCTCCTCCTCAGCTGTGGACCACCAAATAAAATCCATGCGGTTCCTTTGCCTACATCCACATGTCCTCTAATGAGCTATCCATCAGTCTCTTCTATTGTTTTCCTTCACATTTCTAAGTTTCACCGGTGCCTCTCTCGTTTCAGTGTTTCATTTCTTCAGCCGCCCATCCTTTCTTTACCCGTTCTTTACCTGCCTGAAGTGTTTCTACTGCAGTTTAGTGTTAAGAACATGTGTGTTAGTTGTCTATTAGTGTGCATAACAACACTAACATAGTGTAATCTCACTTCCTATCCTGTAGTGTGTGTGTGTGTGTGTGTGTGTGTGTCAGACAGGAAAATGACGCATTCTTCAGTTGTTCAGAACAAAATAACCTTCACTTCACACAATCAGGCAGCAGAGCTGCAATCTGTGATGTCGGTGTGTGTGAGTGACTGAAAGAGTGAAGACTGACAAGTGTGATGTTGCTCTTTCTCACACAAACAGACACACACACACAGGCAACACTGAGAGCATTGAGAGAGGTCAAAATGCAAACCTGTTCCCTGCTAATTAAGTCCTCAGTCTTTTCTGAAGGATACACATCACACTTTGAGTCAACAAACAGTAGGTGGAATGACAATTTAACTGCATGTGTTCCTGTGAAGAAAACAGAGATTAAGCATTAAGTCTACTGTGATCCCGCTGAATCTATTGCTCAGCTGTTTTTGTCTTATTTTGGAGGAACACCCTGTAATGTGTTGCAATATTTTAATATTCTGTGTATTTAATTAAATGATGTAATAAATTGTTGTAGTTCTGCTGCAGCTTTAAACACGTTGCACACAGGCCACGATTCTCCATAGCGGTTTCACACGTTTCTGATTGGTATGTTACGTTTAAGACTGGTATTCTTGTCTTTATGGTGATAAACATACAAATTAGTGCCATGTGAACCAACAAAGCAGGATGTGAAAGACTATTATGTTTTTAAAGACTGAGATGTTGTTGAAAACACCGGTACATGGACCTGGATATTAGAAGAAGATGAGATTGTTAAAAATCTGAACTTTATCAAGAAAATTATATCAAATATATACCTTGGCCCCATAAAGTACTGAGCCATTATTAAATTATGTTGCAAGTAGAATAACTT